GTGGAAGATGTTATGCTAGAAACATACTTCCTCCAAGAATCCCTTTGGCTTTGCCTTCTTATTCTTCTGGCATTTGCCTTTGCTTTTTGAAAAGCAACAAAATTTCTAGCAGTGGGGTATCTTCTGAAAATCAACCATGCTTTCTTTTGGGCTTTAAATACTGCCTCACAATTCTGGTTCCACCATGGTTTAGGATGTTTTGGATATCTAGTTGATGTCTTCCCCATTGTTTTTTCAGCTGTCTCAATAATACTGCGTGAACACTTCAATATCAGCAATATTCACCATATCCTCCGTTATGTTGGCCATAGAAGAAAAAACAGGCCAATCAATTGTTTCCAATTTCCAGCGTGGTGGACGGGCTGTTTCGCAGCTTTCTCTGCCTTGATATTTTAGAAATATTGGGAAGTGGTCACTGGAAAGTGGATTAGATCCAACCTCCCATGTAAACGCTGAAAATAGGTTCGGGGTTGCTAGTGATGGATCAATGGCAGTGAATGTTCTTGTTGGGGCATGGAAGTATGTCACTTCTCCCGTATTAAGTAAATACAGTTGCTGGTTGCCTATAAATCTTTCAATGGTCCTGCCGCGACAATTAATGTCGAGACTGCCCCACATAGGATTATGGCCATTGAAATCACCTAGTAAAAGAAACGGAGTAGACAACTGTTCAACCAAAGCATCCAATTCATCCTCGTTCACTCTGACATCTGGTGGCAAGTACATAGAACAAACTGTGACAGTTACTCCAATTGAAATTCTGACTGCCACAGCTTGCAAATCAGTTGTTATTTGTAACGGCAAAAATAAGATGTGATTTGAAACGACAATAGCCACACCTCCACTGGCACAGTTGTGACTATCATCATCCTTGCGGTAGAGATCAAATCCTTTTAAAGTTGTTCTATCTCCAGGTTTTAGATGTGTTTCCTGAAGTGACACGCAGAGAGGTGAGGTATACGATGTCAAGTGTTTAATGTCAGAGAAGTTGTTGCGGAAACCACGACAGTTCCATTGGATTATTTTGTAATCCATTATCTGTTTGAGGCAGCAGTCTTTGCAAAAGTGTCCCTCTTCACTTTTACTGAGGATTTTCCTTTTGAAGGGGAGGGTGGTTGGGTCCCCTCCATATTATTCTCTTCATCAGAAATATCAGAAAACTCACTCATGAATTGAGTTTCTGATCTCTTTGATTTAGAGAGGGCTGCTTTCAATTTTTGTTTGTTCAGTGGGTTCTTATTTGTTTTTTTAAAACCCACATTTCTGGTTGTTACCCCTGTTTTAATTACAAGAGTTTTGGTCTTTGTGTTTGCCGTTTGTTCTGCTTGTGTAGGTGGGATCAGTAAACATCTTGCATGGCAAGTAAGAGATTCACTTGGTGATGCAGAAATATCTGTTTGAACTCCACATGTTTTCGTAGATTTCAGAACAGAAGCAAATGTTGTTTGTTTTAATATTGTTGTTTGAGTGACCATGCGGCAGGCTTCTGGGTATGGTATATTATTTGTGGTTTTTACCCGTTGAATCTCCTTTTCTCTCTGCCATGCAGGGCATTTCCTTGAGTAGGCAGGATGGGCATCTTTACAATTCACACAGCATGGACAATTGGTGCACTCGGTACTCTCGTGACCTTCAGTTCCACACTGTGCGCATGTGCTTTTCCCACGACAGGATGTTTGTGAATGTCCAAATCGCTGGCATTTGAAGCAATGCAGCGGATTTGGAACATACGGACGAATTGGGCAGCGCAGATAACCTGCTGTGATAGCAGATGGCAAAGTTGGTTTGTTAAAGGTTAAAATTAAGTGTTTAGTAGGAATTAACATGCCATCTCGACGAATGGAGATGCGTCGAACAGCAGTAACACCTTGATCTGAAAGACCAATCTGCATATCTGATTCATCCTCAGACATGAGATCAATTTCAGATATCACACCACGTGAAGAGTTCAAACTTGTATGTGGTGTGATGGTGACTTGTATGTCTCCTAGAGACTTCATTTTCAAGAGTTTTTCTGACTGTTGAAAGGAGGCTGTTTCCACAAGTAGATCTCCTAACCTCAATTTTTGGATTTTTTTAAGGTGCCCAATGGTCGACTCAAAAAGTTTCTGGATTAAAAAAGAAGAGCGTTTAGACAAAGGTGTTTCTCCTGTAGCGTAAACAATAAGGTAAGTTGGTTGATTGGAGGAAGTGACCTCCTTTGGTGGCAGTACATTGGTAGATGTTTTAGATTTTGAAGAATCCATATTTAATAATAACAGTTCAGCTCCTGGTGACCCCACCCACCATGGGGCCCAACAACGGGATGCCGTCACATGGGAGATTCCCATAGACAGTCACACCAGGGTTTCCCAGGAGCTATACCCTCACAATGCAGTCAAGAAGAGCACATCTTGTCTGACGTGTCCGCCCGGTCTGCATCGATCAGTTGACTCCANATTGAAGTAATTCTTATAGAATAAATTGAGTTTAAGTCAAATTTTTAATTATATTGATAATGCAATAAATTTATGTAAATTATAGTTAAGTATTTTGCTTTTAATGCATAAGTCTTTCATTTTGTAATATTATTGTACTTAAATTTTAATGTTCTGGTCTCTTTAGCTATGAACAGAAAACGTACTCGGCAAATTAATAATTAAAATAATCAACACCTAATCCTTTGCCGAGGGAGAATGTTCTATTCTTTGAGGTTATTCCATATTCGATTTTTCAACTTGAAGATGATCTATGGAGTAGATCAAAAACATTCGTTTTTTTTTTTTAAATAAACTCCCTCGGCAACGGATTAGGTGTTGATTATTTTGATTTTGCTTGTTTAGCTAGCTGTTTTCTTAAAATTTGCTTGTAATTCAGTTCTAGGTTTGATGGTTATTATTGTTGGATTATTATGATAACTGCTTGAGTGAATAAATCAACTATTAGCTAAGAATTAACATATTAACTGCCACTGTTGAAAAACTTTGTTCCCTTGGCCATTCTTTTTACTATAGATTTGTTCTTTTCATATCAGAAAATCCAAATGTGTTCTTTAAATTGTATTTTTTTTTTATTTTAATATTTATGCTAATTTTTGAATGCTTTTTGTTTGAGGGATATATATTATATACTTCAAGGCTTAGATGAATGAATTTACATGTACAGACCATGAATTGCAGTTTGGTAGAAGTTTGTTGTGTGTTATTTCTTAAACTACATCTACAGAATTCTAAGGTACTACTGGTAGTCCACAGAGCATATTGTGTAATTAGTCACTGAGGCACAAACCTTGTACCTTGAAGAACCAGGGGAAATTTTTAGCAAGTGGTACATCATGGCATATTATATCATGGCTATGTATTAAATTATAAATGATTGTTGGGACGAGATTTAATTTAAATGAGTCTTTTTTTTCCTGTCAATATTTCTTTGTTGGAAATATATGGAAAGGACTGAAAATCAGTTTAAAACAACACATTCTTATACTAGTTGTATTCCAATATTTAAAAATTAATATTTTAAATCTAGTAATATGCACAAGTATTAAAAAGATTTCTATGAAGATTCAAGTAAAAAAAAATTGATTAAAAAATTTTTGTAAGAATTTCTGATAATCTTTCAAAATATAAATTCAAATTAAGTTTTAATCTTATTTATTCAGTGTATTTGTAGATACTCTCCTAAAAATTAGATACTTTGATTATCAGATTTTTAGGAGAGGCTCTATAAATATTTCTTCATTGCAATAAAATTAATAAATTTAACTACTGAAAATAATTTATTTTTAAAATGCTGCACAATAATTCATAGCATAAGTCTTTTGAACATTATTATTTTCATGTATTTAATAATTAAATATAAAAATCAAATTAATGAAATCAATAAGAAAGTAATACAATGAATAAGACAGAAAAGCATTGCCAATGCTTTCCTATATCACTACATTCATCACATGACTATTTTATAACAAGATGATTGAGAAATTTTATATAAAAATGATGTCAAAGTTTGCATATTGTTTAATACTAGACAAGAATATACTTTTTAACTGTATAATCAACTTAAGCGTTTTGGCAACAAAGTTTTTTTCAACTGAAGCAGGTGAGCTCAACTATAAGTGTATAAAGTTTTCAATTGCTGTTATAGCCACAACTGTTTTTCAAAGTTTGTTTTGTTAAGTTTATCAAATATCAGAGATAGGTGTTAGTATATGTAGAAAATCATGTATAAAATATTTTTTAATGTTTGATCTTCTATTGATTCACTCTTTTGAATAGCGTAAATACTTTAATAGTCAATTGTCACTTAATATTAAAAAATCATTTTGTATAACCTTATCTCACCTATTTCTGTGTTATGACAAAAAATGTAATCATCTATTTAATTCTATTGTATATTTTATAAATTAAAATAGCAATATAACATATTGATATAATAAAACAGAATATTGTATTGTAATGAAGATTTATAAATCAAATGACAAATATCAATAAAATTATTAGTAATAATAAGAATATTCTCCCTATAACAAGAATTTATTACTTTTTTATATAGTATTTTAACATTGGAGTGTTATTATTGACATAAATATAACCAATATAAATTATAATTAATCAATTTAAATTAGATTACTTAATAATATTTTTGATACATGAAAGTGATATTTACTCTTTAATATTAGTCATTAGATTTATCTTTGTGGTAGTTAAAGAATGAATACCCAATTTAATAAATATATATAAAACATATAAAAGCCCCGATAATAATAATAAAACCAATTGATTGCCAGATTAAATCAGGCTACATTACAACTACTATTAATAATTAAATACCGAGTAATTTTGCACTTGTAATAGACATTAGGTGCCATCTCTTATTAAATTTAATAATTAATTTAATATTTAATAAATTTTATAAAATTCTGGAAGAAAAGAATTTGTCCAGGCAGGACTCAAACCCGCAACGGCTGCTTATGTGGATGCATTTCTGGTTATGCTACACAGACCTCCATCTAATCTTGCTTCCAGACATTTAATTTAGATATAACCAACTAGTTACTCATGGTGCTGACTAAATTATTTAATAAAATTTATAATTATACTTAAATATAATAAGAGATGGTGCCTAACATCTACCTCTTGTGACAAATTACTTGGTATTTAATAATTAATAGTAGCAGTAATATAGCATTGTTTAATCCTGCAATTGTTTGGCATTAATATATACAATTCACTCATGAATGAGTGAATTGTATAAATTAAAGCTAATAACTTAAAATCTTAGTTTAGTAGAGATATTAATTTATATACACATTTCTTACCTCTCTGATATTCAGTAGTATTATCCAATACTAGATTCAACAGAGGATCATAACCTTTTAAAATACCTGTTGCTGTATTAAAAATAATATAATA